CTTGGCTAACCAGCCTTCTCACCTCTGAGTCTGCAGCTTTTTATAACTTGTTTACCATTCTGGCCCAAGTCTCATTCCTTTGTTCCCACAGTCGGGGGCCTACAGTGGGGAGGGGGGCAAGTGCTGGAGACACTCCCCCATCTCCCATTCTCACCAAGCCATCCTCTCCGGTCCCCTCCCTGCAGGATGAATGATGAAATCAGGAAGCTCCTCTCCGACTTGGGCAGTTCCTACGCAAAGCAACTGGGCTTCCGGGACAGCTGGGTCTTCTTAGGGGCCAAAGGCCTTAAGAGCAAAAGCCCCTTTGAGGAGGTGAGTTCCTGGCAGCCTCCCCATCCCAGGGAGGTGGGGGTGGGGAATGCGGGGGGAATGATGCCAGGGATGGACAGACATGGACTGGGGTGGCTTGGAAGGACACATAGGGCAGTGTGGGGAGGGCCACTCAGCTGTCACCCACGCCAGAGGTCAGGGTGGCCCCACTGGCTGATTCCCCCAGCACGAAGCAGCCTTGACCATTGTGCAGGGAGGTGGGTCATATATAAATACACACAGATACATAGACAAGTACCACAAAGGAGAAGGAAAAGCAGAAAAGAAGGATGAAAGGAAATTACAGCATGGAGGGGAGGGAAAGGAACGTAGGGGAGAAGCTCACGTGATGGGGGAGGGGAGTCCAGGGCAGGGAGTGGGGTGCCTGGCTTCTGGTCCCAGCTGCGAGCCCTCCTCCCCTCTATAAAGGGGCAGGTTTGGACCAGGGAGCCCCAGGTTCTACTCTAAGCTCCCTGTGGAGAGGGTGAAGTTGCACCAAGAAGGGGACACAGGAGAGCCCCCTTGAGTATGTGGAAGGAGTCAGGAGGGGTCCCTGATGTGGGGCTCCACGGTCCCCAGGGGTGGCCTGAGCAGAGGGCATCCGGGAGGCGCCCCTAGGCGGGGCTGGAGGGGCGCCTACAGGAGGAAGGGGGAGTCAGCAGGAGGTTGGGGACCCCGCCCCCAGGAAATGCTACACCTTCTCCTCCTGTGCAGAGCAGTCCCCACCTCTGCATCCCCAGCTCAGAGCAATTCCAAAACCTGGGAGCACTGGCCAGGCCTCCCCAGCATGAAGTTGGCTGGTCTCTGCTGGTTAGAATATTCAGCTCTGCCCAGATCCAAGACGAGGAGCTAAGGGTCAATGATTCTGACACATAGGACCACTGAAGATAGTAGGCTCTGTCCTGAAGGCAATGGAGAGCCATGGCCAGCTTAAGTGGGAGAGTGACAAGATCAGATTCATAACAAGAAAGACTAGTATTCAGCAAGTGCTTGCTGTGTGCAGGCACAGTGGGGAGAGTTATGTGCAGGGTCCTATTTAACACCCACAGTGAAGTAGGTATGCTGATCATCCGGCCCAGCTCATAGACAAGGGCCCAGAGTCTTGGAGAAGCTGTAACCAGCTTGCTCAGTGATATGATGCATTTCTCACCCAGGTCTGCAGCCTCCCCTAAGATCTCCTGTCCTCCTACTTTAGAACAGAGTCCCTGGCTGTGCATGGAGAGCACTGGGAGGGCATGGGGTAGGAGGCAGGAGGCAGGGAGGAGGGCACTGCAATAATCAGACCAGAGACAGCGCAGCCTGGGCGGGAGGGTCCGTGGGAGGCAGAGCGGGACAGCAGGAGGGAGCCTCGTGCAGAACTCCAGGGGCGGGGGCCACGGTGGGCTGCAAGGGTTATTGCCTTGTCTGGAAAATGTTGGCCTAGTTTGTAGGTGGGTGTTTCCAAGACAATGTCTTCAGGTAATTAGAAATTACTTTTAAAAAATTAGGACTAGTTTGCTCTAGAGGAAGAAAGGAGAAGACCCTCTCTGGGTGGAAGATGGAGGCACAGGGCCAGGGGGCAGGTCTCTCCAGGAAGAGGTCTGAGGCCACACCGGCAGGGCAGGCAATGTTCTTCCTCAAAGTGCAGTTTCCAGACCCATGAACAGAGCCAAGATGGCAAAGAGGGAGCACGTGAGTAGAGGAAAGTCAGCACCACCTTCTACCTGATTCCTGTGATCTGCTGGCTGCAACCCATCACCCAAAAATGACCCAAAGGCCACAACGTGATTAAAACCATCCTGTCTTTTGTTCCCACACGTGGGAAACTGAGTTTGAGAGAAGCAGCATCTAGAATTTATTTTTTCTGCCTAAGGGTTAGCCACAATTATTCCAGCAGCAGATTGTGCCACTTACATTCTTTGTTCCATAAACTAAGCCTGAGCATTTGAAACACAATCTTAACTGATTTTTATTCTCTTTATATATCTATATAGTAATTAATATTACACAGGGGTTCCGCCACTAGCCAACTGGGTGGCCATAAGCAGTTACTTTGGCCCTCGGTGCCTCAGTTTCCCCATCTGTAACATGGGATGATAATAGTATGTACTTCTTAGGACTCTTGTGAGGATTAAATACATAAGGCACTTGATGCCTGACATACAGCAAGCACTCATGAGTTGCTAGGATGCTTCTTTTTATGTTCATCATTTTTACTGTTATGATTATCATTTGGGATGTCCTAGAGGGGCTGGTGGAGAATTTGGGAGAGAGGCTAAAGCTCTCTAAGCTCCCTACCCATGCTTGGTGTCCCCCCACCCCCGCCCAGCCAGGGCATAGCAGGCAGTGACTAGGTTCTGATCCCACCTCTGAAATGTTGGGTAAGTGGCAGGGCCCCTGAGCCTCAGTTTCCCCATCTGTGAAATGGGCTAGAAATATCCAACCCTCTCCTCCTCCTCCTCCACAAGGCAAATGCAGATGTGAGTCCCAAACAGCCTCCCCCATTGTCAGTGTCTCTCTTCTCTCTCTAGCTCTTAAAGAACAACCCAGACACGAACAAATATGACGGCTGGCCAGAGCTGCTGGAGCTGGAGGGCTGTGCGCCCCAGAAGGTATATTAGGGCAGCTGCGGCTCTTCCTGGGCCAGGGCCCAAGGATGCTTCTGCCTGATTTAGGAGTCAGAGCCCGGAGACACTGCGAGCTGGACTGGCAGGAGCAAGGACAGTGGAGAAGTGGGAGCAGCAATGTGGAAGGTGCCAACGGTCCTTGAACACTATGCGGCTTCCTCCATTGGAAACAAAACCCTCCCTGGGCGAAGAAATCACTCCCAGAGGTGGCCAGCCTCAGAGGGTCCTCCCGGAGCCATCTGTCTGTGGAGAGAACAGGTGTGCTTTCCCTCAGGGACGGCTGGATTGCTCCCGAGGAAGGACAGGACAGAATTCCCCAACCTGAGCACAATTAAATGTTATTTTTGCTGATTTTGAATGATCTCTCCCACCCCTCGATGTGCAGTGTTTCCCCTGGATGGGAATGGTCTGGACTGGGTTTGCTCTGGCCGTGAGTTCCGACAGGATGGTGACAGCTTCAAGCACCTGGTTAGGCAGCAGGAAAGGAGGTCGACTTCATAGGGATTTCATTTAGGTGTGAAAAATCCTTGGTTCCCAGCATGAGGTGTAAGACTCACAGAAACAGATAGAGCCAGAGGACCAGACACAGAGAACACTGTCTTCACCTGCTGTTTGAAGGAGAGCTGGAGAAATTCCAGAGTTGGAGAAGGGGAGGAAGTGAGATCTGAGAAAGGCTAGAAGGAACAGCCAGACAAAAGGGCTTCGGGGAGAACATCCTGGCTGTCTCCATGTGGGTTCTCCCTGGAGCAGCCCCCGAGATAAGGATTTGAGTGCAGGTCATTTATTTGTGAGGTGATTCTAGAAAACACCCTTAGCGAGTGGGGAAGTGAGATGGGGAAGTGAGACACCCCAGTAAGTGGTGTGTTGTCGACTCAGCTACTGCTGTGGGTGAGTGGAACTTAATCCCAGGGAGAACCCCTAGGAATCAGTGTAGGACATGCCCCGCAGAGCTCTCTTAGAGGTGAGGGAGCTGGGGTACTTATACACCAACTCCCATTGTTGAGGGGCTGCTGGGGTTGGGACTGCTGTGAATTCCTAGGTGCTTTTCGTCTGCCCTGCAGTGGGGAAGAGTCCTTAGCCAAGAGATGTCAGTACCAGCCACTGGAGGCCACTGAAGTGGTGTGGCCCAAGGGATGTGGTGGTAAGAAGCTGCCTAGACTCTCTGAGAAGGGCTGGGGCCAGGGAGCAGACCAAATCCTGGGAGGGGACTTGGGAGCAGAAGGCACCAGTGCTGGGGCTTCTGCAGTTCTCGTGGAGAAGACGCTCGTGCTGCTGGTGCAAATGCCCTGAGCAGTGGAACAGCAGCAGCTGAAGTCCATTCCCAAACCCTGGGGACAGGCAGGGCTTCCACTGGGCCAGGAGGACCTGGGGTAGAGAAGCGCAGAGAGTGGGAACCTTCAACAGGGCCTGGGGGGCTGCAGTTGCAGAGGGTCAAGATCAACATTGAAAGCCTGACAGGACAGACGACTTGAGCCAGCTTGGCTGAGGAAAATGTCAAAAGGATGAATCGGAGAATTGAGGAAGCGTCTCCTGGAGGCGGGAAGCTTGGAAAGGCAGCGCAGTGAGACCGTTGGTGCCCCAGCCGCGTCCCCTCTCCCAGCTTGTGCTGAGACCGGTCAGTCTGCACGCTTCTCTGGAGAACTGCCCTTGGGCTACTCGAACCTTCTCTGTGTCCAGGTACAGAGAGGCCAGGAAGTGGCAGAGTTCACAGCAGCCCAGGAAGGCCCATAGCTGATGGCTGCCTGGCTGGGACTGTGAAAAAACCCAGCTGCCTGTCCTGGGGCAGGACAGCCGTGAGAGGTGATTTACACTCCAGAGTTCCCTGTCCCTTTGAGACTTCACCTGAAAGCTTTCCTTTGCTTGGTTGCTCCCCATTCCCAGTCCTGCTCCCTGACTCCGTTACCTGTGTCACCCAGGGGCCAGTCCTTAATAAATCACCTACACGAGATCCTCGTCCCAAAGTCGGCTTCTGGAGGACCCATCCTAGGAGAGGCGTTGGGCGTGGCCAGCTGGATGGGCCTGAGCGTGGGCCTGGGCCGGGAGACAAGACCACCCTGTCTGCAGGAATTGTCCTTGAAGGTCAGAGTGAGGGAGCCGCACGAGCTGCACTGCTGCTGCCGCGTGGAGCCTGCGGGGGAGGCCGTGTGCTGCTGCATGCTGGGGAACACCAGGCTGAGTGTGGGTAGTGCCCTGTCCTGCCTCCCCTTCCTCGACCAGGGGCAGGGCTCAGTGGGCACATCCTCCAAATAAGGTTATGGGAAGACGAGCCCAATAGACCATCATTTGTACCACCAAAACCCACCATAGAGATGACATTCAAAAGAAAGCCAGCCACCCTGGGCCTCACTGGGGTGGGTATCACAAAGTGGCAAACACCCCACCAGACTCTCAACATCATCTTCAGAGAATTGTGGCCACTATAGGGACCTCCAGGTCAGCCCAGGATCGGGGCAGGACAGAGAGTCCAAAAAAATGGCTGTAGAGAGTTGAGTCTATATCATTGAGTCTGTTTCTACACTCAGCAGTCATTCCTCACCTTCTGTGTGTCAGGAACTGGTTACTTCCTGGGGGTACCTCAGGGAAGAAAACCAGACCGGTTCCTGCTCATAGTCTGCGGGGACTCAGATCAAGAGGCAATAAGACTTGATGAGGACTTTGTTGGGGGAAAGACTGCAGGACCAGGGAAGGCTTCCTGGAGGAAGCAGCATCCACACTAAGCCTTGGGAATGTGTAGGAGTTCACCAGGCTAAGATGGGAGGGAGGAGTGTGGCAGGCAAGGCAGCAGTATGAATGAGGCCTGGAAGGGGTAGAGGGTCAGTGCCAAGGGCTGAGAGGGCAGGGATGAGAGCCTGAAGGGCCTTGTGGGCTGGGTAAAGCAGCTTGGACTTTGTCCTGGGGTAAACTGAGACATTTAAGCTGGGATTGACATGATCGGATTTGCAGTTTTTAAAAAATTCCTCCTGACTGCTGTGTAGAGAAGGGAGTGGAGGCAGGGCGGCCAGTGAGGAAGCTGCTGTGTCATCCAGGGAGAGAGGGTGGTGGCCTGGCCAGGGGATGGCATGGGGGTGGATATGGAGACCAGTCTCAGGGATATTCAGAAGTAAAACGGACAAGATTGGGGACTGATTTTCACATCATTGGAGCAGACAAGCCTTCAGAAATCTCTGCAGGGTACTCGTGACCACAGAACTTGGGGCTGTATTTCCCTACCTACTGCCCACCAACATGCCATTCCTCTCTCCCTGGAGCAAGATGCTGTGATGAGGGGAAGGGATGTATCTGTTCCCTCAGCCACAGCGAGGGCTTTCCAGTAGTGTAATTCTGACCTTCGCCAGTAGGTGGCAGCCCAAGCTAGAAAGGGAAGAGTGGTAAGGTTTTTCCCATCCACCCTATTCTTGGGAAAAGTGTTATGCTAAATGGACTGGTTCCCTGGGACTTGCCAGTGGGCAGTTGACTTACCACTACTATTATTAACAGCATCATAACAGCAGTACCTAACTTTTATGGAAATTGTCCAAATATGTTGTCCAAAAATGCTTTGCACAGAGCTTTACACGAATTACCTCATTTCATCCTCACAGCCCCTTGAGGTGGGGAATCACTTACCCCTTTTACACATAAGGAAAATGAGGCTCAGAGAGGTCAAATGTCTTGTCCAAAGTCACACAGTTAAGGAAACTCAGAATAAGGGCTGGAATCCCAGTCTAACTTCATCACTACAGGAAACAGATTCTTCATCAGAAACACTTGCCTTAAAACTACTCTAGGTAAACGGTGTTTTCTGGCACCCTCTACCCTCCCCCTTCTCCTCTCCCTCCCCCTCCTCCTCTTCCTGAATGCCTCTGAAGACATTTGAAACTTGCTCAGAACCTCTGAGTCAACATTCTCACCATCTACCTTCATTCTTTGGAAGAGCTGGAGAGGGGTGGGTTTGAGAGATTTAGAACTCCTCTTTTCAAAACCCTCCCACATTTCATAGTCTTTCTTTTTTTTCTACAAGGTTGTGGGCCAAGAAGATGCAGATGTTTATCCCCATTTTGCAGATGGAGAGAGAGGCTAAGCACTGTGTCAAGGCCACACAGTGAGACCAGGCAAAGCTGCATCCGGAACAGCTGATCCTGAACCTTCACCACCAACTATCGTTTTGTAAATCATCTGTGTCTGTGTTCCAGGTATCTCCCCTGTGCCAGGCCCTGTGCCAGGCTCCGGGGCCACCACCCCTTTCCTTCTGCCTGTGCCACAGGGTCTGAAAGTTGCATTTCAGACCCACATCCTGCTGGGAGCCAGCCCTTCAGCCAATTAAGGCCTTTCAGTGCAGCCCTAAGCCTTATATCAGCAGGATTCCAAGCAGATGGGGAAAATTAACAAATGTGTAAAATTCCTTTTCTCTCTTCCTATCCCACCCAAAGCCAAGCCAGTGGATAATACTGGGACGGCTGCCAAAGAAGTTTGATCTTCAGGGTTGACTTAAGGCATTTTTACTGCTCTGGCTGACTGCCAGTTTAGTCAGTGCTCTTTCCAATTTTGTGGACACTCTCCTTGCTGCAGGAAATCAGAAGCTGTACCCCTGCCATAATTGGAACAGGGAGCAGCTGAGGCAGGGGCTGGACCCAGGAGAAACAACAGAAGGAAGAAGTCACACTTTTGCTTGGCTAGAGGGGGTAAGGGCGTTGGAGAAAATACAGTAACAACAATGACAACAGTATTGATCACTGCCACGCAGGGAGCACTTGCGATGACTCAGGGCGTGTTATGCACTCTGCATACTTAGACTGTTTCATCTAACCCTGCATCATTGATCTAGCCACTCCACCAATATTCACTGAGTGACTGCAACGTGCCAGGCACTATCCTAGACTCAAGGGGGAAACTGATGAATAAGATAGACCAGGCCCCAGCCTTTGTGGAGCCTGGTGAGAAGACAAACAATAAACACAGAAACCGTATAGTTTCAGTTTCTGATAAGTGCCCGGAAAACATAATAAACAGAGAGCCTAGAGGGTCCTCTGCATAGGAAGTCAGGGGAGGCTTCTCTGAGGAAGTGATAATCAAGCCTTAAAGAGAAAAGAATCATGGAGTCAAGGGAGAGAGATTTCAGGCAGAGAGAGGTGCAAGTGCTAATATTCTGAGGTGAGGGGGAAGAGGTAGGACCAGCAGCTGTTTGGGAGAGAAGGATGTGAGAAATGAGGTCCAAGAGTCAAGCAAGACTTGCCTAATCAGACCTTGTGAACCTGGGGGTTTTAGTTCTATGGAAGAATCAGATCTAGAACACCTAATCCTTCACTCTTCACCACCAACTGCCATTTCATAAACCATCTGTGTTATAAATCATCGCTGTGCTGGAGGAAAGGGAAGGGTGCCA